GCGAGAGATATCTAAAAAAAAAATAAAATAAAAAATCCAGAAATGACAACGTATGATTTAAAAAAAAAAAAATTATTTGTAATATACAGCTACGAATAAGTATTTTAACAGATAAAATCAATTTTAATATTTGGTACATCAGCCTTTCTTTACAATTACAGAGGTCAAATGTTTCCTGTAGTTTTTAACCAGGTTTTCATACAATGCAGGAGGAATTTTGGCCCACTCCTCCACACAGATATTCTCTAGATCAGTCAGGTTTCTGGATGTCGCCGAGAAAGACAGAGTTTGAGCTCCCTCGAAAGATTCTCTATTGGGTTTAGATCTGGAGACAGGCTAGGCCAAGCTAGAACCTTGACACGCTTCTTACAGAGCCACTCCTTAGTTATCCTGAAGACCCAGCCTTGACCCATCTTCAGTGCTCTAACTGAGGGAAGGAGGTTGTTCCCCAAAATCTCGCAATACTTGGCTCCGGTCATCCTCTCCTTAATATAGTGCAGTGGCCCTGTCCCATGAGCAGAAAGAAACCCCTAAAACAGTGTTTTTCAATTCTGGTCCTCAAGGCACCCTGCCCTGCATGTTTTAGATGTTTCCCAGTTTTCACACACCTGTTATCAATTGATAGCAGATAAACCTGGTTCAGCTTTGCTGAACTGCAATCATCTAAATCAGGTTTGCTGAACCTCAGAAACATTCAAAACATGCAGAGCAGGGTGCCTTGAGGACCAGGATTGAAACATACTATGACAAAACAAACTATGACGTCTTAGTGTATTTTCAACAGTAACCTCGGAAATGGTGATCCAGCTCTTTTCATTTCGTTGACCAACTCTACCCGTGTAGTTCTGGGCTGATTTCTCACCTTTTTTAGAATCCCTGATATGCCACGAGGTAAGATCTTGCATTCATTCCCAGTCCGAGGGAGATTGACAGCCATGTTTAAGCTTCTCCCTTTTTCTAATGATTGCTCCAACAGTGGACCTTTTTTCACCAAGCTGCTTGGCAATTTCCCCCGTAGCCCTTAATGTTAAATTTTGTCCCCAGTGTCTTTGGACAGCTCTTTGGTCTTTGTCATGTTAGTAGTTGAATTCTTATTGATTGTATGGAGTAGACAGGTGTCTTCATGCAGCTAACGACCTTAAACAGGTGCATCTAATTTAGGATAATAAATGGAGTGGAGGTGGACTTATTGAAGGCAGACTAACAGGTCTTTGAGGATTAGAGTTCTAGCTGATAGACAAGTGTTCATGTACTTATTTGCAGCTATATAATGCAAATAAATAGTTAAACAATCATATATTGTGATTTCTAGATTTCTTTTTTTAGACCCCTCCATGATTTCTAAGAGGGAGAACTTGCAAAATAGCAGGGGGCTCAAATACTAATTTTCCTCACTGTATATATATATATATATATATATATATATATATATATATATATACTTCAAAATTAATGGTATACTTGATAAATTAGTGAGTGATTCGTATGGGGCTCACATGACACCTTACATTGAACTGAGCTGATGACATGCTCAGGAACAGATAATACAGCTTGTTAATACAGCAGACTTGTAGTAAAAGTCTTGTAATGTATTTTAAGATCTAAA